CCTCACTGCCGACGTCGCCCACTACGTAAAAACATGCAGAGACTGTCAGCGACGCAAGACGCCGACAACTAGGCCAGCCGGACTTCTGCAACCCGTCGAACCACCTCAACGGCCATTCCAACAAATCGGCATGGACTTACTGGGGCCGTTCCCGACGTCAACTTCTGGCAACAAATGGATTGTCGTAGCGACTGACTACCTCACCCGCTATGCCGAAACAAGGGCCTTGCCCAAGGGCACTGCCGCCGAGGTCGCCAAGTTCTTCATTGAGAACATCGTCCTCCGCCACGGAGCCCCCGAGGTCCTCATCACCGACAGAGGTACGGCCTTTACGGCTGACCTAACGCAAGCGATCTTGAGGTACAGTCAGACAAGCCACCGCCGAACCACCGCGTACCACCCACAGACGAATGGCCTCACCGAGCGTCTAAATAAGACCATCGCCGACATGCTGGCCATGTACGTGGACGTCGAGCACAAGACGTGAGACGCCATACTCCCGTATGTAACCTTCGCGTACAACACGGCCGTGCAGGAAACGACGCAGTTTGCTCCATACAAGCTCGTCTACGGACGGAGCCCAACAACGACGCTTGACGCCATGCTACCGGTCAGCACCGACGAAGAAGACCTCGACGTTGCCAGCTACCTGGATCGCGCTGAAGAAGCTCGACAGCTAGCCCGCCTGCGTATCAAGAGCCAACAGACGGTCGACAGGCGCCACTACAACCTTCGACGACACCACACCGAATACCAACCCGGCGACCTTGTCTGGGTCTGGACGCCGATATGACGACGGGGATTGTCTGAGAAGCTCCTGCGACGCTACTTTCGACCCTACAAGGTAGTCCGACGTCGTGGTGAACTGGACTATGAGGTCGTGCCCGATGGCTTAACGTCATCCCAACGACACCATGCACGACCCGAAGTCGTACACGTGGTGCGACTTAAACCTTATTACGCGCGCTGATTAGCTGTGACGCATTGTTAATGTAATTTATTGCATGTACTCTCTCTTATGTTCTGTCTTTAGCATCGGGATGATGTTTTTTCAGAGGGGGGTAGTGACACGTGCGGTTCTTTTGGTTTACGAAGAAAGCCGCTATCACTTTCTGTTAAGCGCAACGCAGGCCGCGTTTATCTTGTATGCCACTCTGGAACGCGTTATGACGCGTGTATAAAAGACTGACACGTGCGGTTCTTTTGGTTTACGAAGGAAGCCGCTATCACTTTCTGTTAAGCGCAACGCAGGCCGCGTTTATCTTGTATGCCACTCTGGAACGCGTTAAGACGCGTGTATAAAAGCCGGCGCAGTGCGCCACTGGGGAGTCTTTTTTTTCCGTCGGCCGACGACTGTTCACGCCGCTGTTGCTGTGAGTTGTGTTTGGCCCTGTTTTGCTGGGCACAAGTTCGCCCAATAAACAGTTCGCCTGACACCGCCCTGACTCCTGCGTGCTTCCTCTCAAGTGCTGCGTGTATCACAACCTCGTGACAATACACTGCAGGTATCTAAGGAAACTGCTTTTGAACCAAGCATCCTATAAGAAGAGAAAAGCTAGAGTGGCTACTGGTTACCGTGCTTCGAAGAAACTAATTATGCGGGGAAGACAGCTGAGGCGAGAAAAGGCAAAAGTCAGTGAACTAAAGCAAATGCTTGCGAAAATGAAGCAAAGTAATTCTGCCCTCTCTGAATCAAACCTTCAGGAGAGTCTGTCTAAGCTGCCTGAGAAACAGCGGCAGCAGGTACAAACATGCTTTGAAGCAGCGAAAAGGAAAGGAACACAGGGGATGAAGTACAGCGATGAATGGTTTCTGGACTGCATTATAATGCGCATGAAATGCCCAAAGCTGTATGAGCATATTCGAAAGCACAAAATAATGGTCTTGCCCAGCAAGAGTTGTTTGAACAAGTATGTGAGAAATTATAATAGCAACTTTGGGTTCAATGATAATGTTTTTGCTGCCATCGAAGAAAAAAACCAAAAGTATAGATGAGTTTCACAGGCACGGAGGTCTCTTAATTGACGAGCTGAAGCTCTCGGAGAGCCTCAAAGTGACAAGCAGTGGACTCATCGAAGGTTTCATTGACTTGGGCAAATACACTTCTCTAGATCAAAGCACACAAACGTGTGATCACGGTCTAGTAGTATTGTACCAGCCATTTTCAGGCAACTTTCAGCAAATCTTAGGGGTTTTCGGCTCCCATGGAAATGTCAAGGCAGATGTGCTTGCAAAAATCATTGTCGATGCAACACTAACTGCCGAGAAGTCTGGGCTTTTTGTGGATTTTGTGACCACAGATGGTGCATCCTGGAACAGGAGTATGTGGCGACAATTTGGCATCAAGGGTTCTTGAAAGTCAGTTGTTTGCAAAGTGAAGCACCCTGCAGATCACAGCAGAAGTCTGCACTTCTTATCAGACTTTCCACATCTTGTGAAGTGCGCCCGCAACAGCATTGTGTCGACAGGTCTCCAGGTGCCCGAAGGTAGGGTCAGGATAGATGTTGTGAAAGAGGCATGGAAGTGTTACAATAGGGACATTGTGCGGCTTAAAGCAATGCCTCATGTCACAAGAGTCGTCATCGATCCGAACGGATTTGAAAAAATGAAAGTGAACTATGCCTTCACTCATGGACATAGGGTGTCTCAATGAAGTACATAAAATCCTTGAATCGTCTGGCATCCCAACACATCACTGCGCAATGGTTTCGGTAAAAAGCGACTCCCGAGTTATGCATTACGTTGCTGGATATGTCGCCCGAAGGATGCTGAGCCAAACCAAGTGCCCTGAATGTGCAAAAGCCCTTATCCGACCACGCGATTCTGATATGCCCGCAGATGCCTGCCTAATCAGAGAAGTAGACCGGGGTGGGCTGCTCTACCCATCTGATGAACTGCAGGCTTTTATCGAAAACACGGAAGACTCATTCGCGCGCTGCTTTAGCTTCAGCAAGCTTAAAGCAAATAGCATAATGGACATCATTTCTGCGTTGACAAGAAACCGGCTAACTCATCTTGGCTGCGAAAAACATTCCAGAGATGTTACTAACAGGCTCGTCAAGTTTTATACAATGACAAGGCTGCACTTCATTGTAAAAGCGGAAAACAAGGCACGGGAGGGCAAGCGACGGCAGCGAATGCACTATTTGAAGCTTCGCGGCGTAATGTAAATATGTGTGGAGTTGCGCTTTCATGTGATTGTAATTTAGAGCTGCTTGCTGTATGAGATTGGCGATGTACAAAAATAAAGATGCAGGCTGTTAATTCCCTGAACGTTGCGCATGTATACAATTTTTATTAAAATCTCCTTGATTGAATATACGTCACTCGGTGTGTAGAAAATTCACCAGACACGAAACTCATCGAAAAAGCGAACAGCTGCAAAAACTACAATATAATAAAATCGTTAAAAGTTACGCATTGAAATGTAAAGGGAGGTACCGAACATTGCGATTGTGAGCATATGATCGTTTTACACCGACGTTTCAAATGGTATTCGAACTTATACGCACGGTCTTATCGTGGAGTACGCCGCCTTGCCTTTTGGGTGCTACCGCGTATGTTTGCATGCCATTAGAGGTAGTTTGTTGCCTTAATCTCGGTATACATTCCGTGCTTAAATTTTCGTTTAAAACACCCCATTGCTAGTGCACACAGCTGCATTCCAGTTATTACATGGAGGTCGCAAGCTCTGCAAAGTGCGCATACCTTCTCGTGCAGCGCCTGGCCTGTTTGGCCGTCAAGGACGCTCGCCCCCACCGACCGATCTAAAAAGCTACAGCAGCGCCGCCGCTGCCGCCATGATCTGTTCCTACACTCCGCAGCTGGTGATGCTCCCACCTCCCCCTTTTAGCCACCATACTGTCGCACTGCGCAGTAGCTACAGGAGTGGATTGGATTGAATGCCTTGCTGGCTCGAGTACATAGTTGCCAGGCGTTCAAGTGGAATCCGCTAAAACTGGCTGAACCGAAGCCTATTGACGAGATTCAAAGAAATCTGAGGACCTGAAAAAATTCAAGGGTTTTTAAGGCCTTGAAAATGCTATTATCAAATTCCAGGGTTTTCAAGGGTTTCAAGGACCGCTACGAACCCTGTTATTCTTAAATTTTAATGTGCTCACGTTGCTGTGGGCATCGTGGCTTAACGTTTGAAGAAGGGTTTTTTTGTAAAGTACGAGCAAGGTTGCAAAAAGCAACAGTAACAAATACATGGTAGTTATTCCTTAAAATCACTGAATACGCAAGAAAAGCTAAAGAAAGTGGGAGGCAGATACAGTATTATTGTTGTTCTTGCAAATTCCAGTCAGGTAAAATATGTGCTGCAATACAGAGAAAAAATGAATCGGTGATAGACAAGAAGATGACTGAATTTGCTTCGTCAAACACACCACCCAATTCACTGATTGCCATACAGGCATGAGGTTTAGTCTAGCTGCGGCTGTTTATTTACTTGTAGGAGCCGCTGTGGCTCCTACAAGTAATTAAGCAGAGATTAATGGGACGTAAGAGATCACTGTCTGGAGGCTCGCCTTTCAATCTATGTTTTCATTGTCAAATGTGTCAGTGCGTACTGAAATTCAATGATTGCACAGTTTGTACAGGCACAGAAGCGAAGAAACGTGTCTAATGCTTGTAGCTTGGCATATTGGCAACATGTGTTGGTAGGGCATGCATGAGCCAATCATCAATTAACTTGCGTAAAGAAGAAATCAAGTGCCAGAATTTTTTAGGTGACTGCCATGCATGCCGTATTAACAGGTCCACCTTTTTTTTTTTTGCTGGGAAAGGCACAGATAAGTGGGCTTTTCCATCTAGTATATATTATACTGCCATTGTGTGGCTTTTTCAGTTTTCATTCGGTGTTTGTGGTGTCTTGACTCTTCTCTTGCGTTTGCACACCCTTTAACACAAACACATGCTCGCCATGGGGTACTCTAATGAGGTTCACAAAACTCTCACAACCTAGTTGAGAGCAGCAACACGTTATCACAATCTCATACCTGATGTGCAGTCTGGCCAGCGGCTTCACTCGGTTAGCCACACAGTCCATGACCTGCATGCTTCACACAAATGCACATTGTTGTCACGCTCATTCTGGCTGACTTCCATTTAGTGCAGCCATTTTCACTACATAGATCGCAATTGCCTGTATTGTCTAATTTGCAAAATTAAATACTAGTTCATGAACAAACCTCACAGAAAAACAAAGTTAACACATGGAGCAATGAAATTTGGCTAAATTGGCTAAGAATCTTGGTTAAGATAGATTCTACAGTATCTACATCTAAAGTACCCTTTGCAGTGCCCCAGTTATCACTCACCGACAATCGCTTTTCATGGTATACCTGTTTTGTGCAGCATAAAGCCTACCAGTTAGAACAAGCAAGAATGGTAGCAATAGGAACATCCAGTTCAAAGTTATTCAGCTAAGAAAAGCCAAAATACATTTAAATGAATGGCTACTCTCAACTCCATTATCATGCAGTCACTTGACCCCGTTTCCCTCATCCTATGACATCTGAAGCTCCCCAATAAAATAAAATAAAATAAAATCAAAGCTCTTACATACAGGAGGCTTGTATGCCGTATTGCCTATTATTTCCAATGTATTGAAAATGCCGTTACAATGGTAAGAAATAATGTGGTACTTGAAGAGTGAACAGCACATGCGAAACGAGGCAGCTCATGGACGCGTTCATAATGTTTTGTAGTTTTATTAATCTTTTTTGTTGTGATGGCATCTATATAATAATGCTCTTACGCTTCTTCCCTTCACTTTCTTCAAAGAATGGCACCTGTCGCATTCCTGGCGTGTTTCCTACAATGCCAAGCCCTCTAATGCCGTGGCCTTCGACACCCTCTTTGACTGGCTTTATAGTTTTCAAGCTGAAAAAGTCGGATAGCTTTAGCTTCTTCCACTTTCAGTGAAAAACTGTGCTAAAGAATAAAAGCACCCAATATAAATCCCTATTTCGATACAGAACAACAATTACATCTAACGTTACATTTATTCAATCACAGGCCTACGCCTTCCGTTGTCATTTCCGCTCGAAATAGTTCTGGCGAGTACCACTGCGAGGTGATGCGGTCAGCTCCAATGTCTCGAAGCATTAGAGGGCCCCTTTAACCACCAACACCGAGCTGTACTTAGCACATGAAAACAATGTCACCATTTAGGAGTCACACTCGTCTGGCCTAATTTTTCACTCCTTCTGTTGCAAAAGATGTATTATAATCATGAATTGCTTTGTTTGCAATTTTTTAGCCCACATGGCAGTAGCAATCTATGAAAAACACTTCATGCCTTTCGCATAGAGAAGCATATGAAGTTCGAGCTTATTGATACATATTCATAGTAAAAAACAGCACGAAAACAAAGAAGATACAGAAAAAACAGGGCAGAGCACTGTGTTTTAAGCATGGCAACAGTCATTTAATATTACCACTCTGCATTAGTAACACTGGTGGTGTAGACCACGCCCTGGTGTTGCTCCCTGGATCATCGATCTTTTGGTTGCCGTAATAAGCGTGCGAGCTTTGAAGCCGGCTTATGAACTACCGTGACCACAGCTTTTGAGAGGACATGGCGAGCTGTTTTCTAGTTCCCTGAACATACAGGATGACGACTTGTTGGGCTGGTCTCATTGGTCCCATTGTAGCCGGTGGTGTGGCAAGTAATGAAGGGGGGTTGCGTGTGCCGTTTGCAGGTGCGTGGGAGCAACACCAGGGCATGGTCTACAAAGTTGCATGTGTGGGATGCCCAGCGAGCTACATAGGAGAGAGTAAGTGCTACTAGGAAAAAATATGCCAGCACAAGAAAGAGGTCAGGAAGATGGAGGTGCAAGACAGTGCCCTTGTAGAGCATTGTGAGAAGCATAACCATAATATTGGCTGCGACGGCACTTATGTCATAGCAACGGAAACTCTGAAATGGAAGCTCTTGCTCAAGTCCTGGCATGTTCAGCACACACCGGTGAACGTGAACTGGTCCCTGGCAACAATGCCTCTGATCTACGAGCATGACCTCTGAAACGTGAGGGAAAGGAACAAGGCGCGTCGATGCTTCCTTGACCGTTACAGCCGCTCCTGAAGAAGAGGCCAAGCCTGTCTCGAAACGTCAGGCTTTCTTCAAGATTGTGGCTGGAAGTAATTTAACTTCCTTAATTATTCTTCCAACCAGCCAAATAGACTTCCGTCAAAATGTTTACATTAAAGAGCGACTATAAATCATGAGAGCCTTTGTTACAACGATGAAACATCTACAATTCCCATTGTGTTACCATGTACTGCATCATATAAATACTCAACTTTCACTACATTCTGACCCATCACCATGGCATGTATTAGGGGAAATTCATCTCAAAAGCTGTCCTGTCACTTCAGATCTACTTTCATCATCTAAGGCCTTTAACGAAATAAAAGTATGTGGACATTTTTTTAGGGATGAAGCTTCCTTAGGGTGTGTGTCGGGCCCCTCAAAGTAGTATGTTGTAGTAGTAGTGCCCACTTCTAGTTAGCTTTAAGAATTGCTCACTAGATGGCATTGTGTGTATATGTCCTTAAAAATAATCTGACTAGATGGCGTTCGTGGTTTTTGTATAGTTTGCATGAGATCAGAGGTTCAAACAAGATTAGAAATTAAGCAACGTGAAAGGTAGGCTTCCTTTAGGAGCTCATAGGAATACACCAAATCAAGGAGTACAAGGGCATATAAGATGGACATTATTCGAGGGCAGGGAAGCTAGCAGCAAGATAAAATTTGAGGAGCGATTGAGAGAAATGCAGGAGAAGCATTGGGCTAAGAAGATTTTCAGCTATTTGTAGATAAAGAATGTCGATACAAAATGGAGTAAGTGAACCAGAAAATTGATGGGTAAATACTTGAAAAACAGCAGGAAATTGATTGATTTGTGGGGTTTAACGTCCCAAAACCACCATATGATTATGAGAGACGCCGTAGTGGAGGACTCCGGAAATTTTGACCACCTGGGGTTCCTTAACGCGCACCCAAATCTGAGCACACGGGCCTGCGACATTTCCGCCTCCATCGGAAATGCAGCCGCCGCAGCCGGGATTTGAACCCGTGACTTGCGGGTCAGCAGCCGAGTACCTTAGCCACTAGACCACCGCGGCGGGGCAAACAGCAGGGGGCCAAACCAAAAAGAACTCTCGTTTAAGAAGAAGGTGAAGAAAACGGAGACCGACATGTGGAGAATAGACATGATTATGAAGTCGGCACTAGAGATCCATCAAACTTTCAAGCAGAAAATTGCAACAAAAGAGTCTATGATATATCTAGGGGTAGTTCTGTGCTGTTTGAGGCCAGGATGAGAGTATTGCGAACCAAGACTTATCGGGCCAAATACGAAGAAGTAGACACAGTATGCAATACATGGGGAGAGGCAAAGAAAACGGCCAAACACTTGATAATGTTCTGTAAAGGGCTTCATCCTCTAGTTCAGGATGATGGCGCAGAGTTTTTCAAAGCACTGGGGTTTAGCAACAGGGAGGGCAAAATAGACATTAAGTGGGTAAAAATAACTAGAATAAGGTTATCTGATTGGTGGCTACAATCAAGGCACGAAATAAAATAAATCATTCACTGCAATGTGCCAGTGCTTAACATCACCATTTAAAAGAAAAAAAAAAGATAAATCTAGTTTTTGTTCACTAAGTATTACGGCTAGGTGGCGTTAGCCACCTCCCAATCTAAAGGGTACAGCCATATCAATACATTCATCCATTCATTCATAGTTGGCGATTTCATATAGTTGATGGACGGATGGACAGACAGACAAACAGATGGACAGAATCATTAGATGGTGCTAGTGGTTTTCATATAGCTGACGATTTCGTATAGTTGATGGACAGATCAACAGACAGATGAACAAATGGCCCCAATCACTAGATGGCACTAGTGGTTTTCGTATATAGTTGACGATTTCATATAGTTGCCGGATGGATGGACTTACAGACAGACGTTGCTCCAGTGCCCTCTCATTATCAACTCTGAGGATATTCTGTGAATGTTGTTTTGTTCTTTTTCGCAGCGAGAGAAATGCGGCCACCTATGGCCTGGTGAGCTATATTAATCTCAATAATTTAATAGGTGCACTTTTATTATTTGTCTAAAATTAAGTGCTGAACTCTCACAACAGTGGCCGCAGTGGTACCACTTGTAAAAAGGAGCAAACATCTAGAGTGTTGCATTCACATTCACCAGTGAGAAATCACGATCTATTCATTGTGTAGAAAGTCAATAGTTCGCCCAGCACGGCTGTTCAATTTACTGTTAGACTGTGAGAAGTATTTTAACAGGAGATCAATCAATCGTCACTGCAAGGGCTGCTTCTATAAGAGAGATTTTGCCTAAAAATCACGAAAATCAAATTGATGTGCTTTGCCAGCAACGACTTTGCGCCAGCATGATACCCATTCCGAAGAACATTTAGGCCATTGAAATTGAAGGCAGTGAGAATGTGAGGCATCAATGTGCTTTGTGCACATATGCACGGACATAGATCCAAAATTTGAATCGCTCCTGTCCAGCATCTGTAGGGCCTACTCTCCTTTGTAGCGCTGCTCCTTGTTACTCTGTAAACCAAACACGCCTTTTGGTTGCTCTCTTGTGAACATAACCACCCGCTGTTGCGCACAGTGTGTTTGGCGTAGTTGTCCCACACTCACATTTGAACTGTGTCAAAAGGAACTCAGCCAATGCAGAGACGGAACCACAGCCATTAGTTTATTTTATTTATTTATTTGTAGATACTGCAATCCCACATGAGGGATTATAGCAGGGTGGGAAGTACAATCATAAATATTCCTAGGTGAACAAGAACAAAAATACGGAAGCAAAGTACAGTTCTCGGAATTACAAAAAAAGGGAAAAACTGATATACAAAATTCACGAATACATGATCAACCATGGCGACAAAATACAATTCAAAATGTACAGGATAATAAATATTCCAGAAACAGAGTCACATACGCAAGGATTGGAAAAAACACGGGTGATAATTCTACACAATTTCAAATATATACACATATATACATACATATACATACACACATATGCACACATATATATTATGCAGTTAAACACAAGGCAAACTTTTCAAGTGATGGCTGTAAAACAACGTCATTAGTTAGGTTGTTCCATTCCCCGACTGTTCTCGGGAAAAATGAATACGTGAAGCAGTTATTGCGTGTTTGAAAGGGCGTAATGGAGAGGTTATGGCGATGCCTTGTCGGATACCCAGAGGAGAAAGACAATAATTTGCTAGTGTCTATCTTATAGTGCTTCTTAATTAGTTGATATAAAAATTTGAGACGAGAAATTCGGTTTCTTTCAGTTATTGGTGGAAGATTAGCTCTCGCTAGCAGTGCACTAACAGATGTGCGACCATAACTGTTGTATATAAAACGGGCTGCCTTTCTTTGTATTTTTTCAATCTTCTTTTTATTAGTCAACGTAAAAGGATCCCATATAACGACTGCATAATCTAGAATGGGTAGAACTGTTGATTTGTACGCCAGCAAGCGCACAGTGGGAGTGGAGTGCTTGAGAACTCTCCTAAGAAATGAAAGTCTTGTGTTAGCACAAGCTGCAACATAATCGATATGTTTATTCCACGTCAAGTTGTTTGTAATGTAAACCCCTAGATACTTGTAATACTGCACCTCAGCAAGGTATATATTGTTACAGCAATATTGGAACAAGAGGGGCTCTTTTTTGTGTGAAATGTGCATAAATACGGTTTTTTTCAAAGTTTATGGGCATCTGCCAACTGTCGCACCAAGATTTAACTTTTTGAAATGCGGCATTTAACTTTATTTGGTCATTAGAATTTTTTACCTCGGAGTAAATAACGCAGTCGTCTGCATAGAGTTTTATGTTAACGGGTATGTCATTCACAATGTCATTGATATATAAAAGAAAAAGAAGCGGTCCAAGTACCGAACCCTGGGGGACGCCAGATTCCACAGAAACCCTCTCAGAGCATTTATCTTTAAATACAACATATTGCTGACGGCTATGAAGGTAAGATAAAATCCATTTAGTTAACTGCTTGTTTTTGAGTATGTTGTCTAGTTTGAAAATTAATTTTTTGTGAGAAACCTTATCAAACGCCTTTGAAAAATCCATAAAAATTGCGTCAGTCTGTTCACCATTATTAATTGTCAATGCAAAATCGTAAACGGTCTGAACTAATTGGGTACAAGTAGAGTAGCCTCTTCTGAATCCATGTTGAGACTCGGATAGGGCATTATGAGCAGTTAGAAATTCCGAAATATGATTATGAACTATATGCTCGAGCAACTTACAAACTGTTGACAATAGTGATATTGGCCTATAATTACTAATTTCATCTTTCTTACCCTTTTTATGAAGTGGTTTCACTTTGGCTGTCCTCCAATCGATTGGCAGCTGTCCTTCTTTCAACGATTTTGTAAAAAGAATGCAAAGATATTTGGCAACCCCTTCAGCGTACCTTTTGAGAAAGGCATTGGGTATTTCGTCAGCACCACCAGATTTTTTTACATCAAGTTTCAAGAGCATGTTGAAAATTCCCTTTTCACTTACGGTAATGTCAGGCATCGGCGGTAATGGTGACACAAAATTAGGCAGTTTGCCATCATCATTAGTAAAGCAGGACTGAAACTGCCTATTGAATGCATTTGCAATTTTTGTGGCATCAGTAATTTGGACACCATTAATGGTAAAAGCATCCACATCAGTATAAGATGGGGAAATTGCTTGCCAAAACTTCTGCGGCGAACTAGTAATGAAACTAGGTAATGAAACTGAAAAATATTTGTCTTTGTCAGCTGCAACTTGTGTTTTAACTTTGTGAGACAAATCTGAAATTTTGGATTCCAGGTTTACGCAGTCGCCTACAGATCGACGTTTTTTCTTTAACCTCTTTAATTTTCTCTGCAAATGTATAGCAGAACGACTTATCCAGGCATTCACACGTTTGTTTTTCTTGCGTATCAGTGGCACAAATTGTTCAATACATTCATGTACAAGTTTCGTAAAAGAAGCCCAAAGAATGTGAACATTTGCATCACTGCGAGAGAAATTATCTAGATGAAACGAAAGCACGTCTATTATAGCTTCGTCATGGGCTCTGGAAAAGTTTCGAAAATACGAAGCTTCGTTAGCTTTGTCGACTTTAACATTGCTGAGGCTAAGGAAGACGGCCTGATGGTCGGAAATTCCTGGCATGATTTGAGATGTGGCGTTCTCGAAAATGCTACCACTTACGAAGAAAAGATCTAGTAGAGTCTTACTGTTATCCTGAATTCTTGTGAAGCCTTCAACAACTTGAGTAAGGTCAAAGGCAAAAGCAATATCAAGCATTGCCTCTCCTACCTTGTCATTACGAATTTTGGGGGACATTGTTAGCCAGTCAACATCAGGCAAATTGAAATCACCAGATAGGATTTATGTCGCATCGTGCAAGCATTTTGGCATGCAAACAATGGCCTCTGTGGCACCGTGTTGTTGCAACTTTTGGCAGCATATGAAGCTGCGTGACCTCAAAGTTTCGTGACCACAAGCAGTATTGAATGATTCTGCTGGTACTGAAAAGGTTAAGATGAATACCAATGTCCCGTTGGGCCATATATCAGTCCTCGGTATAGTCAGTGTGCCTAGTACGCGCCCGATAATTCATGCAGCTAAAAGGCTCTATTAGCCTACCCCTTCCCCTCAATATTCAAGGCATATTCTCCCCTCCCCATTCCTCACTACAGCCCTGCCTGCGATATAATACATCAATAGGTACTAAATGTGCACAAAGAAGTTGATCTAACTTGCCATGCTTGACTCAAAGCAAGAAAAAATCCTGTATACGCCACTCATCATCTACCATTTCACATAACATTGAATCGCAGAATGTATGATACCTATCGATTGTTTATTTTTACATCGAATGCCAGACTCCCCTTCTATGTGACTGCAAGCGGGCACCTGGGTACACCGCTCAACTCCATAGTGATCATGATAACTACGCAGTTCGCGATGCTCAAATCAGCCAATGGCCGTGCACTTCAGCTTTATGGTGATGCCACCTAAACCACTCGTTCTCAAAACTGTCGACTACAGATGGCAACATTTTTGACCAAGCTCAAAAAATGTTGCAGGGCCCCTTTAAGACTTCAAAGGCACCTGGGAGGTATTGCCACAACGCAAATACCACTACAAACCTGTTCTGCCAAACTATCAATAAGAATACCAGAGAGCTGAGCTGTTGCTATGATTCACATTAAAAGACATGCTCAAACAGAAGAAAGAAGTTAAGACTCTACAGATGCTATTTGTTGTGTTTTCTTTCGCAGTCTATGTATGCATGCCCTGTATTTAGCGTGCATATGCTAAACTGAACAGCGAATATTGTAAATCATTTTGTGAGAGTGGTAACAGCAACATTACCTACAGCTTTCATACGAAAATAATTATGTAGTGTGTAAATACACAAGGCTTTCGTGGTGTTTAACAGTGCTGCTTGTACTCAATGCTGCAGGTATACCTAGGAGGAAAGAACGTCGGAAAAAGCAGTTCGTCTGAAAGCTGCCCATATTTGAAAGCTTACACTTCAATGCACATACAGTGGTGTGCTGCAGTGACACAGGAACAGAAGCCACCTGATGCAAGCTGCCGCATGTGTTGTAAATGTTTCTGTGTAAATAAGGTGCTTTATGCATCACGTGTTTTCATATCAACACACAAAAACTATGAAACCACAAGCGACGTGCCAAAGACAGATTGTTGTGGTTTCTAGCCATAGAAGCAGCCAATGCTGATGTGCTTCAGAGCATAATGTGCCAAATGTGCTGCCACTCTTCAGTGACCAAGGTCTCACCAGTGCGGAAGGCCACCATTTGACTGCGACACTCGCCCCATCTAGTCCTGCTTATTGGATTTGTGCCACCTGTGTGTCCACACACAGCTGTAATCCATTAATTGACTTGTTTTTTGTTTGCATCCTCATTTAAACAATTCATTCATACTAGGATTTCAAAAAAAATCGCAGTTCACAAATGAAGCTGCGAACTGGTTTGTTGACACTGTCAAAAAACTTACGAAGGCAATAAAGTTGTCATTTCTCTGACTCGAAGCTGAATCACATTTCTCTTGCATGACATTCGTGATGAGTGCAATTGAATTCAAGGAGGATGTGATGCATGTGAACAAGATGGAAAGAGTGTCATGCAAATTCAGTAGTTTGTGTAAAAAAGAAGCTTCATTGAAACATAATTCAAGTCGGTCTTGCCTGAAGTGATTCTGAGAGAGGGAAAAGAAGAGAAAAGTGAGCTCCGTAACTGTCTGTATCACGGTGTGACAGCTCAACAGTAGTTCACAGGGAATGGGGGTGAGGAGGGATTAAAAGGATAGGAATAAAGGTATAGAGAAAGATTGATGCACTAAGCCAGCGAGCGAGGACATATCGAGGGGATTCTCCTCGATATGTCCTCGATAGGAAAGATGGAAACACGGTCACAGGAGTCCGAGGACGGGGCACCACTTGCGAGAGCTCTTGTCGGCATCAAGAGATGGCAGGGCAAGTCCAGTAGGTCAGAGCTACGCTGTTGTCGGAGATCGGCGCCAGGAAATGACGTAGGGCCAGCCCAGTCGGCCAGAGCCATGCTGACGTCGGAGATCGGGAGAACACAACCGGTCGGCACGGAATCCAGCGAGTCGGTCTTGTCTAGCAGAAAGTGCACTGTGGTGGAGCAGAGGTTATGGTCCTCCGCTGCTGATCCAAAGGTCGAGGACTTGATCCTGGCCTTTGACGGTCACACATTGACTCAGTCGAAATGCCAGAGCACCATTTATTATGCAATGTAAGTGCACTTTAAAGGCCAATTCCGGCTATTTTTTTTACCATGTCAGGGTAGTGGTGCTTTTATGTTCCTTATACACTCTCGTCATACGCCCGATAGCTGAAATGCTCAGCGAATTGGAAAAAATATTTAATTAGCGAAAAACCCGAATAACAAAACTGAAACCCAATCGAGTGCACTTCTACGTATGACGTAGTAGTATTTACCCGAACCTGCCTGATTGCACATAATGCCTTGTCCAGGTCGTCGAAATTTGTGCCTCTGGCAATCGACTCAAACGCTTATGCTGTTATGGTGAATGTATCGTGAATTGTGTGTGGCCCACAAGGCAACACCAGTTGCCATGGCACGCCCACCAATAACGAAAAGCACATCACTCACTCAACCAACGAAGCGCCAGCCAAACCCACAAAATCCATTGCAGACAAGCAGACGCAGCAGTGGCACATCAGTTCCGTCACTTCCGCTTTGCAAAAATCATCACACCCACAATGTTGCCATTGATTTTGGCAAGCGAGGCGAGCGTTCGGAGGTAAGCTGTAAAATTCATTTGAAAAAAATCTGCAAAGCTCTTGAGTCTGCAATTTGGCATGAATGGTGCAAACGAACGTACCCAATGAATTTCACTGAGACCTCGAAAAATTGCTGGAGATGGCCTTTAAAAATACCAGAAGCGTGAAAAGCTGAGCCTGTTGGATTATGTTTAGATTCAAGAAAAACCAGTGAAAACTAAGGGCAAGAATGCAGAAGAAGGCAACCACTTTATTGAGGCATATATATGAATTCGAAGACGTTACCCATGCATGCGCACAACCTATAACTCAAGGATCTGCCCGATGCCCTTATAGACATACTTTCTCTGTGATATTCACTTATGCACACGTGGCTATTCTTCAAGCACTTTGCATTCAGTCTTTCCCAGAATGCGGACACAAAGGCTCGCGACCATTCACAAGCAACGCTAGGTTGCTGCCTGTGACCCATTGCACACAGTAGGCACGCTCTTTTAAACACTGCCCCATGTGGCAGATATAAACATCTCTGCAGATTGCCGGGATTGAACAACCCCTATGCTGCACTCAGTGAAAACGGTTTGGTGACTAGTTTCGCAAGTTGAATTACGCTCACTGCATGAGATACGGGTACAAAGACCCGAAAGCCTGTGAGGGGCTGAGAGCACTTAGTTTTCACCAAACTTTTGGAAGACTCGTATGAGCCCGTAAGATGTCTTGCAAAAGTACGGCTTCACCACAATGTTCCTTGTCTCATCAAGTTGTCAGGCATGTAGTTTCCTCATTTTTTAGGCCAATGTTTCTCCAGCAAGAGAGGGCGAGAGAAACCCAGATGCTTTCAGCCAATCCACCTGCTTATCAAGGCTTTGCTCCTTGAGATGCTGACAACTTTTACTGGAGGCATTCATGAAGAGCAGCGCTTCATTTCACTAAGTTTAAGTGCACAGATTCAGAGGTAGAAGCGGATTTTTAGACCTGGGGGCATACTCCAAGATTCGTGCCTGTCATTTAAAATGATATCTAAATCGAGAAACCTAGCAGTTTTGTTAACTTGGACTTCTTTAGTAAGTGCCATATTCTTTGAGCAGGCACGAAAATAGGGTTGTGTGAATATTTGAGTTTTTAATTTGATTTGAATAACACCTCATCTGATAATTTGGTTATTTGACTTTTGAATAGTAGCTAGCATTCAAAGTTTCAAATATTTTGACAGGAAGAATATCTGAAACGTGACAAAATGCAAATGGTCCAACTTGGTTAGGATGTGGTAGCAAAACCCTGCTAAAGCTAGCGCCAGTTTTTTTCAATGCCTTTTTTTTGGTCACTGAACTCTGTCCATAGTTTCATACAGGGACAATAGCCGCTTGGGTTTCCGCGGCAAACGAGGAGGCATCTGTCACGTGTGCTTATTTTGGCTGACTACTGTAGTAACTCGAGACAATGAGGTATCTAGCTCTAAACCACAATAATTCAACTACCACTCACACTTCTCCTGGCATACAATGTGGCTGTTGCAAATGCGTGTGAAAAACTTACTTTCACGTCCTTTTTTTTTAAAGATCTCGATGCTACGATAGATTCAATGCAGCGATACTTGACGCATATTGTAACGCACTCAGGAAAGGTTTAGAGGGGGAGTTTAATGAGAGCAGCGGCACGAAAGACTGCGGTGATAGCAGAACCAGTGTCGTTCTCCTCTTCTTTTGCAGTTTCTCTTGGTCTCCACTTGCAGGTACACTTCTTTGTAACATTCCTTATTTCTCTGAAGAAGCCTTCTGAGCGAGTCATGCATGCATCCTTCGTGTGAATAGTGCCTCCTTTATTTCATTCAATGCTAGTACAAACGTGTGCTCTTCAATGGGAGCCATCGATCTGCCTTAGTTCGGAGTGGTCGTGATGCGACACCACTGGAGGGGTAGGGCTGCTACCGTGCCTTGTGATGGAGGGAAAAGACCTTTCAAGTTGCAGTCGTTGCGCTGCTCAGTGGCGAAGGTCGATGCGTTGGCGAAGTCAGCGGAAAGGAAAGCGACGAGGTGGTCACAGTTGTCAGTTTTGCAATCTGTCGTGGGTAGGGCAGGGGCATTCTAGAAAGGCAGTCCGCATCAGCATGTTGGCGGCCACTTTGTGTAAAATAGTGAACCCATATCTTGTAGACGAAGGGCCCATTGAGCGAAGCGTCCGCACAGGTCACAAAGGTTGACCAGCCAGCACAGGGAATGGTGGTTTGTGACTACGGTAAGTGGGGGACTGTAAACGTAGGAGTGAAACCGTCGCACGGCAAATATTACTGCGAGGCATTCCTAGTCGGTTAGAGTGTTTTGCATTTTGGCTTGCTTAGAGAAAGGCCTGCGTACACTACGACATGTTCTTTGTTGCCAGAGCATTGAATGAGAACAGCACCGATGCCGACACCACTTCCAGTCTGTGTGAATCTCTGTAGGAGGAGAAGGGTCGAAGTGCCGAATCGCTGGCTGCATCACACCTAGGGGTCCATTGAAAGGGAGTGCTCTTGCATAGAAAATTCTTCAGCAGGCAGGGGTTATACGCAAAGCCAGATATGAACCACCAAATATATTAACATAGCCCTACGAAGATGTTTCACAGATTCAGGTGGTTCAAATGATGCAACGGCTGCCGTCTCCTGTGGGTCTGGTCATATGCCATCTTTATCCACGAGATGTCCTAACACTGAAGTTTGGCGCTCTGCAAAATGGTGCTTCTTTACAGTTGAGTACAATATCTAAACGAGTGTTGTGCTTCACAAATGTGGATCTTAAGATCACAACAATGCCAAGGTAGCACATATAAATATGCCACTTCAAACCTCGCAGTTTAGTGTCCATGAATCTTTAGAGTGTTGCAGGCGCATTAAACAATCGGAATGGCATCTTGTTAAATTCGTAAAGACCGTCTGGGGTAACATATGCCGTTTTTTTTTGTCAGCTAATTTTATTGTAATTTGCCAATATTGTACACTCCCTTTAAGACGAACTCGAACTTACCACGATCATTTGTTCCTCTTATCAGAAGTGCCCCTGAAAAATCAAATGCTAACACGCCAAGTACGCCTAATATGTTGCTTGAAAACACTGAATGAAGTATACTGAAATTGGAATGAAAAGAACAAGAAAAAAATTTATTTGGCTCATCTTGATAGAAAGTGTTTACTGAGAGTCTACTGTAGTAGAGCATATGATCACTTGTTTGAGGACACACATGCACGCATCCCTAGAGCAACCACACATGATAGTGCTAAACTGTGCCATGCTTTTGCGAGCAATCAATAAGCATGCCCTTCACGTGAACAGCTATTGCAACATGCATCAAAATGAAGGAATAGTCGCACTTAAACTGAGCAGTGATTTAAAACAATATAAGTCAAAGAGCTTGAAGGATGCTTAAGGTTCGCCTTTTAGAGAGGAACGTTCCTCTCTGTAGCACCTTTGAGTCTAGGACTCACAAACATACACAATGCCCTGAAACCTCTACATGACTACTAAAGCCGTGGCTGAGAGCGCAGGATGCACAACCAGGTGATGGGTGGCAGCCATGAATCACACCCAAGTCAGTAGTGTCTGTGCCCAGATTGGATTCAATTGCAGCTCGAAGCTTCGAGCAATATTAGCAAAATATTTGATTCAACTCGCACTCACACTTCAATATTCAAATTTGCTTCGCACCTAGAATTTCACTATTTGTACAGCTCTAATATTATTAGCCACTATAACCATATAAAAACAGTTCTTCCAGTTAAGATGTGAAAACACGTAAATGTTGTTAGACACACACAACAAAAAAACCCATGACAAACACAAAGATACTGATCCTGTGTAGTTGCATGCATAAGGTACCACGAACACATTTACCATATATCAACGTATAAACCTTGTGGCCTACAAACACCCTCAACTCAGTCATCATGGTATATCACCTTATTTGGAAACAATTATCAAAATAACATACAGTCCCATTTACTTAAACAACTTTGTATTTAGACTTGTGGTCACCGTCAGTCATGAAATTTGAAGATAACAGCACCATGAAATTTATGTGCAAGAACTGTCTGAACTCTTTTTGAACAGTACCTTCGAGAAATGTTCCTTGTGAAGGAAAGAAATATCCTGCATCCAAGGGAAATTCCATAGTCCTGATTATCTGTGTTTGCATAAACTGGTTTCATTTATATGCAGATAAGAACATCCTGAAAAAGTTGTTTTATCAGTTACTTTTTCATGATATTTTGAATGCTTAATGTGCCTTTGTAAATTATATCGGTGATGGCTGAAACGCACGACTCATCAGAGCTAGCCTAGGCGCAGTGCACTGTACTTACTCAGAACCCACAGTAATAACAAAAAAGCAGTAGTTCTCACGTATTTCATCAGTATCCGCATCCAATTGAACGACCCTCCTATTTATCAACTAGACTACACAACCGGCTTAGTTTCTCGCGCATGTACGGCAAAACGAACTCTTTTAACGCATCCGCTTTGCCTCGTGCCATCACGTTGTGGAATGACCTTCCCGATAACTTGGTATCTGACACTAATCCTGTTTCCTTCCGCAACAAATTGGTCTTACATTTTGGTTGATAATTTCATGTTCACAGCTTTGTTCTTGTATGTATATGTCATTCATAATGCTGTGCAAAAAGTTTTTTTCTAATGCGCTTGTTACCCCCTTATTTTTTGTGCTTTATTTTTGTTTGCTTAGGACGAACTGTTCACACTTCCTGCAAGCGCTTTCATGATTTTCCCAGTGTATTATACCACAATCTGTGCCAATTTAACTTACACGTATTGTACACTTCCTAACTGCTGCGTGCCATGAACTGCATCTTTCTAGTTTTTTGGTAACGATGTATGATGTCAATTTATAGTTACTTATTTCTTGTTTATTTGTTACTCATGTCTCGAGCTTACGTTTTGGCACCTTTCGCGCTTTTACTTGTTGTACATGTCTTTGTTAGCCCCCCTTACTCAATGCCCTAACCAAGGGCCTGTAAGGTACCTGTAAATAAATAAATAAAAGTATACATGAAAAATCGCCAAAATAGAATGCACCGTTTCAACCCGGCTTTGTTACCATGCCTTTAGCAAGGAAAAGGAATGCAGAAAACAAATGTGCTACAAAGGACAACCCATGAATGTCAGTCACAACAGGATAACTAAAATGGAACTACAGCCATCAAAACATACACTGAAATGAGAAGAAAGCCAGGCACACCCTATCTGCCAAATCGTAGAAATAATCGGGGCAGTTTTGCTGAACCACTACTACACGCTTCAGCACCGGCATACTTTGGCAGCGTATACATTCAGCATGAGCGTACGCGCATATAAATGGTCTGAGCATAGCAGCAGCGGCCAGGCGAAAAGGGCAGAGGAACAATCACCTGCTGGTTGCGGCGAGTGCTGCCTTTATTTGTAGCAATTCAGGGTCTCGTCTGTGAATGACACTGACTTCTTCTCTAGAAAGAGAATGCGGGCAGAAGGAAGAAAAACATCGGGTGAGCCCGGACCCCAGACCGCTCTATGGGACACTAAAGGGATCTATGTTCATGAGCGTCACATGTGTGTAATCCATTCCTTCAAAAGTTTCTTATCGGTAGTTCAAAATCATCTTATTAAAGAATTCCTTTGTTCAAGAATGCTAATTAGAGTAGAGAATGAAATCTAAGCCATTTTTTCATCTAATATCTTGGAAGTTGTACCTTTCATGCAAATTGAAGTATGTTATACCGTAGTTGCACATTTTCGTTGCTCTCATGCTGATGAGCATTTACAGGCTTCTCTGCTAGCCTTAACTCGGAAGAGACAAGGTCAAAGGTCATCATATTTCATGAAGCTTGCATGATTGCAATAGGAAAAAACAGTGCAAATTTTTAACACAATACAAAGAGCAGGATTGACAATAGCACAATGTGTTCTTGTCTGTTCATATGTCCTGTCAAACTTTTGAACTGTTTTTCCCTTGAGTAAACAGGAACCAACTAGCTCAACATTTAACCCTACAAATTTCTCGGTGGTTTATTCCACTGTGTTGCCAACTCTGTGTTCTGTTTTATCTTTTTTTCCTGCAATGTTTACATGGGTGCAGAATACAAGCCTAAAACCAAGTATTCCAGAGGCAATTGTTCCGTTTAAGCAGTATATTTCCATTTAACAGATTTCCGTTTACTGAGAGTCTACTGTATTTTCCAAGCCAATGATTTAACAGATTTCCGTTTACTGAGAGTCTACTGTATTTTCCAAGCCAATGATGATGGAGCTCTTATTTCTCATAGGGAGTATTCGCTTGTGATAGCCATCAGTAAAATGAGTTATTGTTACGTCAGAGCATGCAATAGCTTTAATAATTTCTAAATTGGTAATCGGCGCTCAATGCACCATTTTGTTTCTGTTAATTTCCGTGGTTTTATAGCCCAAAGGTGAAGTTTAATTATTCGCACCAACTTGGTCAAAAACAAATGTTATTTTTACGCCTCTATGGCAGTGTGCCCTAATAAACTGTGTAGGGCTTAATGCTGTGTCTGATGTCACCTGTTGGGCACACAGACTGAGGGCAAAGGCCAATGACGGCCACGTGAAATGTGGCTTTTTCAATACTTATCTTATTATCCCACGATAGCCAACTTGGTCGCTGCGAATAAGGTTGCTGCCCGTAGTGTCACATGTAGTTGATGAGCAGATTTTGTCAAGTTAAGAGGGCCTTGTGCTGTCGCTTTTATCATTGCTTACACTTGCTCCGGTGCCGGACAAAACAGTGCTAGCTGGTTTGCTAGCGAGGACATAGTGGGTGCGGCGACCATAGTATGTTGCTCTTCTACGAGGTGGCCAACAAAGCTCGTGAGAAAATAAAACACCTCATTCTTATAAGGAGCCTTTGTGGGAAGCATGTCATGCATATATTAACACTTTAGGCTTTTGCACTGATCGGGGGTGCGATCTCTGAGGTTACGTGCACTTTGACTAATCAGCATGATGGTCGAGAAGCAGAGATCGGGCCAGCATTTTGTAGTGGTGCCTTATTCTACTTCATCCTGATCATCGGGCTTTTGTGGCTGGCTGACGTCATTTATAGTGTGGGCATGACTGTCCCTTTGACCCTCCATCAATGTTACATGCACGAAAGAGTATTGGCATCAGGATAGAAATAGGAACCGGCCTGGGTGGGTCGGTGAATGTACTGCATACGACTGCCACCAGTGACCAGCTGCTTTCGTGCAGGCGAAACAGTGTCATCTCGCATGTGGGTAGATAGCTCATATAGCTGCCTAGTTTATTAGCACAATACAACTTAAAAATATTAGCTGGTACAACCTTGCAACTGCTCTTAAGTTAGCGACCTGTCGTTCACTGTGTCGTCGCACGACATACGGAAACTCTCTCGGCCTTAATGCATTTTTGTCCATGGGTGTTCCTGGCCGTTCACTTTATTCTTGCACTTGACAACAACTTGCATAGTAATAACTGGCACCTTTAATTTGGCATGCACACTCTACAAAAGAAAATATAGTTCTTTAAAGGAGAATTTTTTTTCAGGCAAGCCCGATTTTGGATATTTTTACACTCCCGACAGGCCAAATGAGTGTATATTTAATTTCATGTGTGACTACAATAAATGTACACATGTAATTATTGCTTACTGTGCAGGCGCACGCCAAATATTCAGAGCATATTTCATGACCGACTATTTCAACTTAGCATAGAAAACGGGAACATCTTTAATTTGCATTTTACCCATTTCCAGGCATAATCTATTTGACTACACACACGCCAGCACTTATCTTTTAAAACACTAGAAAATATTAGGCAGCTCGTCATTCCCTTTTGATTATGCTTTGCAGTGCCATATTTCTGTGCACTTTATGGGCATAGGAAACATTTGACTGATACATTAACATTCTCAATTTGTCAATATTCAATGCAGCGTAGCAACAACACTAAAAGGACATGGCAATTAGGTTTAACTTATTGAAAAAAAGAAGTAATATTCTGTTTCACATCAGAGCAATCCTTTTCTTTTGAATGCCTATTGTAAAAATTGATTGATTGAAATGTCCTCTGGTATGATACATTGTCGTATTATGTTATATGCTTTAAAGAAGAGCTAACAGTAAACTTAGAATAAATAAAAGGATATCATTTTGAGTAGTACGTGTATGCTTCCAAATTAATAGGAGCGCATATATTCATTCGAATATTTACTGAACATGCAGGTGTGACTCGGCTCAATACGATCTAATCACTTATTGTACTGCTACAGTTTTCTTATGAACCATTGTAAGTAGAATGCTTTCTTCTTGCATCCCAATTCATTGAAAGGGAAGAAACAGTACAGACCAGGTGCTTCAATTCGCTCTGTCTTTCCTAGCTCTAGCTCTTTTATTAATTGGTAGCCACGGCACCAGCATGCTTGCAATGTTGTTTATTTATTTATTTTTTTGCCGAGATATTGAACATATGGTAGTTAAAGTTTTAAAGAGTAGAACTTCAGGCCAGTTGGTAATAAGAAATGGGTTAAATGAAGTATAGAAAGCAAGAAAATCGCCTTGACACAGACAGACAAATGCTTGTCCCACCTGTCTCTATTTTCTGTGCTTTACATTATAAAATAGCAGGTGTTGGGTTTTTAATCTTTAACTACAGCTATTCTTTAAAACACATCATTTAAACCTGCTTACTGCATATTGTTTACTCATCATACATAGTCATTTTCAGTATAACACAGATCTGTAACGATACGCATTTTTCATTTTCCCACTAACGCATTGTGATAATGACAGTCTAGAAATTCACTATAACTAAAATATAATACTATCAGAGATGCGGCGATGGCGTAGTGGTTAGAGCATTCGCCTCGCATGCAAAAGGTCCGTGTTTCAAATCCCAGTGCCGCGCAGTTAAAAAAAAAAATCCGCGTGGTGATGAAACTGCATTAAGAGGCCTGGGGTGCGGCCTCACCGGTAACCACCGCCGGGAACCCACTCCCTCACGAGAGAAGGATTGGCCACCCTGGTGCATTATCTGGCCACTACCTCCCACTTGCATACGTCAAATAACTCACGGCCCTCAGTCCCCAGCGGCTGCGAAGCAACTGACCACAGGTGCGGTCAGATCTGCAACGCAGCAGAGGGTGCTAAGAATCTCTGGATCTGGACAGGCCGCCATTGGAACCTGAACTTGGCAACGTTTAACGCTAGAACCTTATCTAGTGAGGGAAGTCTAGCTGTACTATTCGAGGAGCTAGAGGGTGTTAAATGGGATATAATAGGGCTCAGTGAGGTTAGGAGGACAGATGAGGCCTATACGGTGCTACAGGATGGGCACGTCCTTTGCTATCGGGCCTTGGCAGACAGAAGAGAACTGGGAGTGGAGTCCCTGATTCACAGAAACATAGCTGGCAACATAGAGCAATACTATAGGATTAATGAAAAGGTGGTAGGTGTCGTAATTAAACTGAATAAAAGATACAAGATGAAGGTGGTACAGGCTTGCGCGCCTACATCCAGCCATGATGACGCTTCAGTTGAAAGCTTCTATGAAGACGTGAAATCGGCAATGAGTAAGGTAAAAACACAGTATACTATAGTGATGGGCGACTTTAATGCAAAGGTAGGGAAGAAGCAGGCTGGAGACTAGGCAGTAGGAGATTATGGCATCGGCACTAGAAACGCCAGAGGAGAACTACTAGTAGAATTCGCAGAACGCAATAATTTACGGACTTTTAATACCTTCTACTGAAAACGAGGAAACCGCAAGTGGACATGGAGGAGCCCTAATGGCGAAAATAAAAACGAAATAGACTTTATAATGAGTGCACACCGAGGAATCGTGCAGGATGTGGAAGTGGTTGGGAAGGTACGATGCAGTGACCATAGAATAGTACGGTCTCGAATTCGCCTAGACTTGAAGAAGGAACGGCAGAAACTGATACGCAAGAAGCCAATCAACGAGCTAGCACTGAGAGGGAAAGTACAGGGATTCAGAGTGTCGCTTCAGAACAGGTACTCGGCTCTTAGTGAGGAAACCAACCTTAGCGTAGATACAATGAATGACAATCTGACTAGTATCATTACGGAGTGTGCAGTGGAAATTGGAGGCAGGGTAGTTAGACAGGACACTGGCAAGCTTTCCCAGGAATTGAAGAATCTAATTAAGAAGCATCAAATCATGAAAGTCTCAAGTGCAACAGACAAAATAGAACTGGCAGAACTTTCAAAGTTGATTAATAGGCGTAAGATATGCGATGTAAGAAGGTATAACATGGAGAGAATTGAACACGCTCTGAAAAACGGAGGAAGCGCCAAAGCAGTGAAGAGGAAACTTGGGATAGGCAAAAATCGGATGTATGCACTAAGGGACAAACAAGGCAAAACAACTACCAATACAGATAGGATAGTTAAAATAGTAGAGGAGTTTTACAGAGATCTGTACAGTACCTGAGACAACCACAATCCTAATACTA